CACTGTTCCCGGGGTTTATGACTGGCAAAATCAGCCAGAAATCTGAGCTCGGCAGGGGGGCCTTGAGTGTTTAAATTAGGCTTCTGTTCGGCTAAATTTGTCTGTAAATCAGAGGTTGTATTCAGCTCTTTTGGTTGTATTTTTGGGGTTGCAGCTCTCCTCAGAAAGGTTGAAGTGCACGCTTCAATCTTCTCAGTTGGCTCTACTCCAAACCATCAGCTAACTTGCTAAACTTCTGTCCTTTAAGCCTCCTTCTGGACTAGAGCTTCTGTAAAAAGCTGGCTGCAGTCCGCCATCTTGAGTAGAGTGCTATGGCTTCACTGCTTACAGCAACCTCCAACTCCTGGGCTCAAGCGAGTCTCCTGCCTCCGCTTCCCAAGTAGCTGGGACCACAGGTGCCCACCACAATACCTGGCTATTTTTTGGTTGCAGCCATTATTGTTGTTTTGGCGGGTCCGGGCTGGTGCATGTGGCTGGTGCCTTAGCTGCTTAAGCCACAGGCGCCGAGCCCAGAGTCTCACTTTGTTACCCTTGATAGAATGCTGTGGTGTCACAGGTCAGAGCAACCTCCAGCTCTTGGCTTAGGTGATTCTTTTGCTTCAGCCTCCCGAGTAGCTAGGATTATAGGCACCAGCCACAACCTGGCTATTTATGATGCTGTGTTTTGATTAAAAGGTTACTGTATACTATATATATATACATATATATGTATATATATATATATATGTACACGTACACACACACACACACACATATATATACACACACACACTTTTTAAAATTTTTTTTGATGAGCAGAAACATCAGAAGCAGTTCTTGGAATAGGAATGGGTCTTCTAGGGTTGAGGAGGCATTCTTCTGGGTGACTTTCCTAAATGTTTCCTTCACAGTCATCTGCCTCATTAATAATGTTTTTTGTCTTAGAAGCCTCTCTTTGAGTTTATAAACTGACATGATTTCTTCTTGTTGTGAACACAAGCTGCTCTAGTCCTTCCAATGCCCATCTCACATTTCATCATGCTGCCTGGAGCACTTTTCCTTTAGTGTTAACAATGTCATCTTCATCATTGCTACTGTCATGATCACCTTGATTTAGAACCATTTCAGCTATTTCATGGTTGGTTAATGAACAACTGGAGCCTCATCGTGCGTGTTAAAAACTTCGTTGACATCCACTTCTTCCAGCTTACTGATGGACTCTAAAGGTACAATTTTTATGCATGTAAGAAGATCAGACATCTTTTTTTTCTCCTTGACCTATAAAAATCCTTCAAAGATACCACTTTTTTTTTTAAGATAGAGTCTCACTATGTTGCCCTGGGTAGAGTGCTGTGGTACTCTCATCATAGCTCACAGCAACTTCAAACTCTTAGGCTTAAGCAGTCCTCTCATCTCAGCTTCCCAAGCAGCTAGGAAGGACTAGGACTAGGACTATAGGCATGTGCCACCATGCCTGGCTACTTTTTCTACTTTTAGTTGAAACGGGGTCTCGCTCTTGCTCAGGCTGGTATCGAACTTCTGAGGTCGAGCAATCCACCTGCCTTGGCCTCCCAGAGTGCTAGGGTTCTAGGCATGAATGACCAGGCCTGGACCAAAGACACCACTCAGTTCATCATCATCACTGAACACAGTTACCTGTCAGAGGTTGTGCAAGGCATGTATAGCTTGCCATGTATAACTGCCAAGTCTTTAGTCACTGTGTTCCAAGAGTTGATAACAGTATATGCTTATCCTTCATGATAAATTCCTTTGGAAAACATTCCACACCCATGCCTTTGTTCACTGTCGCTAGCACGCTGTTAAAACATTTTTAATTTTATTTTTTTGAGATAGAGTCTCACTTTGTTGCCCTTGGTAGAGTACTGTGGCATTGTCATAGCTCACAGCAACCTCAAACTCTTGGGTTCAAGGATTCTCTTACCTCAGCCTCCCGAGTAGTTGGGATTACAGGCATCAGCCACAACACCTGGCTATTTTTAGAGATGAGGTCTCGCTCTGGCTGAGGCTGCTCTGGAACTCGTGAGCTCAAGTGATTGGCCCACCTCGGCCTTCCAGAGTGCTAGGATTACAGGAGTGAGCCACTGTGAAGAACACATTTTTATATTTACTCTTTCTTGATCCAAGGATACCAGGAAGGGTGAATTAATGAAGTCACATTTGAGGGGGAAAGTACATGGCATAAACATTATTTTTGATGAGAATTTGAACTGGAGAATGAACAGAACAGTTCTCAAGGAATAACAAAATCTTGCAGTTACCATTCATTCAGTGTAGCTTCCCTGGTACAAAATGGGTGTGTAATCAATTAGAAAACATATCTCTGGTGATCCATGCCCTTTTTATAGCATATAACAGATTGGTAAAAAATTCACTTCTTTAAAACAGCAAGCAAGCAAGCTTTTGACTGTCACAGCAATTTTACACTTATGTGTGCTTGTTGCATTAGTACATCCTAGAATAGTTACTCTGTCCTTGGCATTCTTAATTCCTGTAGGGGACAATAATTCCAAAACATTGATGTTTCATCAGTGTTAGATACTTGTTCCATGTCAGATTTTCATCAGTGACAACCTTGCAAATCTTCATTGAATTTCTTTACTGCTTTGTGATGAGCAGATGCTTTATCCCCACAAATCTTTAAATATTTAATGCTGTATTTTTTCTTAAACTTCTGTAACTGCCTGTGTAATATTTGCATTCCCTTAAGTTTTCAGTTTGTCCTGATAGATCTTTGTGTTAAGTGGCAAGGGCACACTGTGTTGCCATCAGATGCACTCTTTCAAGACGTGACTGAGACTTTCATTTTTAGCTTTATGTAGTGTTTTTCTATGTTTCATTACCTTCTGTTCATAACTTTCAGCACAGAACTTTGTTTATATTTCTGTTTCTTTAGGTCACATATTATGGCAGGCATCCTTAAACTATGGCCCGCAGGCCACATGTGGCCTGCCTAGGACATTTATCCGGTCTGCTGAGTGTTTTTGTCACTGCTGCCTGTCCTGCTTAGCAGCCAACTCGTCCCGGGGCCCGCAGTCTGGCCCTCCAACGATCTGAGGGACAGTGAACTGGCCCTGTTTAAAAAGTTTGAGGACCCCTGTATTATGGTCATTCCAATACCATAGTCTTCTGTAAGATGTTTCACACTTACACTGCTGTCCAGTTTCTCCAATAGCTTGACTTTTTTTTTTTTTTTGAGACAGAGTCTCAAGCTGTCATTCTGGGTACAGTGCCGTGGCATCATAGCTTATAGCAGTCTCCAACTCCTGGGCTCAAGCTATCCTTTTGCCTCAGTTTTTTTTTCTCTTTTTAGTAGAGACAGGGTCTTGCTCTTGCTCAGGCTGGTCTCGAACTCGTGAGCTTAAGCAATCCACTTGCCTCGGTGTCCCAGAGTGCTAGGATTACAGGTGGGAGCCACTGCAGGTGGCCACCAATAGCTTGACTTTCTATGGCATATAAAAGTCATCTTCTTTTTCCTATCACTGTTACCCATTGGGTTATCTGCAGACCTTTCTGATATTTTCAGCAAAACCTTTTCATCACAAGGCAAAGAGTAAGCAAAACTACACAGTAAGTAATGCGCATAGGTCCTGGCCACCTGTGGGAACCTGTGTAAGGAACCTGCTTGTTGCTGGCACATGTGGCTTCCACGGGTGCCATTTCATTACCCTTGGTGGGCATGCTTATGTGGAGCTGGGCGTGTGTGGAAAAGATACATCACAGCTGAAGAGTTGAGTTTTTTTCCTTAGGGATGCTGAATAACTGTGAGTTCTGTGCCTGTATTATGACTGTGACACATCATATAAGGTCAGGTGTGGAATTTTCCACTTAAGGCACTGGGTCAGTGCTCAAAACATTTGGCGTTTTGGCTTAGGGATGCTCAACCTGTATATACAATACGTATATGAAAAAACTAATATGAAAATTAGTTTTCAACAATCATTTATTAAACAAATAAAAATAATAACACTTATATGTGTGAAAATACAGCGTAAATAGAATAAAATGAAAATAATATGATAGAGAAAACATTTGCAACTAATCTAAAAATTAGAATCCTTGATACAATACTTAAAGAATTGGTAGAAATTAGTAAGAATATTTCAAAGCTCTATTATTTAAAGAACATAAAGAGGTGATTCACTAGTAAAAATACATATACAACCAATTAAGCATATTAATAAAAAATCAAACTAATAAAATACAATTTCTTTGCACATCATATAAGCAAATATTAGAAGGTTCTACCTCATACTGACATACACCACTGGACGTACACTACCAGAAGATTTTTGAATGAATGCTTTTCAGGAAAAGTACTCTAGTAATATGTATGAAAAGCCATATCAATGCTTATTTCTTTGATCCAGAAAGTTCTGTGTATTCATTTAATACACAGAACTTCATTCAACAAATATTAACAGGGCTTGGTGCCTGTAGTTAGTGGTTAGGGTGCCAGCCACATACTCTGGGGCTGGTGGGTTTAAACCTGGCACGGGCCTGCTAAAAACAACAATGACAACTACAACAAAAAAATAGCCAGGCATTGTGCTGGGCACCAGTAGTCCCAGCTACTTGGGAGGCTGAGGCAAGAGAATTGCTTAAGCCCAAGAATTTCAGGTTGCTGTGAGCTGTGATGCCATGGGACTCTACCAAGGGTGACATAGTGAGACTCTGTCTCAAAAAACAAAACAAAATAAAACAAAACGAATATTTACTGGGTGCCAATTATATGCAAGCTACTTTAATTTTGGGGATCTATCCTACAGAAATAATTTAAAAGGTCACTAAATAGCTTGATGTAGAAAGTTGTTCAATGCATTACTACATCGAATAAATACTGGCAATGATTGGAATGTGCACAGAAGAGGAAAGTTCAGTTTTAAATTCTAAATTCTGTGGTTTAACAATCGCATACTATGTAAGCTCTTGAGAATATACATATAAGGTAAAAAAATCACTGGAAACAAAGACTGAAGGAAAATGTTCAAACTGAAACATACCTTCTTCAATATTAGGAGTCCCCCTTGTGGTTTGTTTTGGCTCACTTGAACTTAGTTGCACAGTTTGTCTAAAATTCTATAAAAATAGAATATTGAATTAAAACAGAATTCCAGACTTAAAATTTATGATATATATGTGGAATTAAAAAAATTATTTTAACTGCTATATATATGTTTAGCTATCATGGTTTATGTAACTTGTATATTTTCTTTTTTCATTTGGAGGTGAAATAAGAACTATTGGTATGAACCCTTTTTATAGTAAATGAATAATTTTTAAAAATGTTTTTGATGTCCACTGAAAAAATTTCTGGTTGTGATGTTGTCTTGGCTATTTGGAAAAGGTACAGTAAGTTGGGTGGCAACACAAGTGCTAATTAAAGGTAGGGTAAGAAATTACCTGAAAGTTTATAACCTAGTGGTTTATCATTCTAAGGGTGACTCACTGGACTAGCCTCTGACTATGGCTACTGCCAAGGAGATAGGTAAGTATCTTCAATGACAAAGCTTAAAATAAAAAGAGCTCACCTAATGTTGCACAGGACTCGGAAAAGGGCAATCTCCCAGCACTGGCCATAAGCGTACCTATTCAGCACTCTCTGAGATACAGCATCCCTTCTTTCCTGAACGTGGTTTCCTTTCTTTCTTCATTCCAATTCTGTTCCACTTGAAGAAATGATTGCCTTCTCTCAGATATCACCTGGCTGTGACCACATGTCCTTTTGTCCCGTCTCCCTGAGGAGTAACTAGCTGCACTCTGCAGCACCTTCCACAGCTCTCACAGTCAGTCCTGGTCTCCATTACAGGCTAGAGGACCTTAGACTGAAACCTTGGTGCAAAGTGGCAACACACTTCTACCTTTCACTTATTTCTTTTAGATTCTACGTGGAAGTGGTGGGTTGAAGAAGATCTAGTAGTATGATAAAATACATTTCTGAATACATAGTGACAAGGGCCACTGTTATAATAACTGAATCGTTAGAGACTCTGGAATTTAAAAAAAAAAGCACCAAAATGATCCATTTTGAAGAGACAGGAGATAGGGGGCTCATCTGATCCAGGGGCCTAGAACCAAGGAGCAGTGGAATTGGAGAAGTTAGCAGCTTGGGGTTTGGAGTTCGGTGGCAGCAGCCCTATTGCCACATGGGCCCTATCGGCTGAAGCTGGGGGTGGAGGACACTGAGTGTGCAGAGTCGGGGTAGGTGTCCTGGTCTTTGGCTTCTTGACATGGTCCTATTTCAATGGTGAACATGTTGTGGCCTGTCAGAAATGTGAAGGTTGTTGATTTTTCACAGTTTTAAGAAATCTGATGATGCAGATGAAGATTATGGAAGATATTTGGGTCCTCCTGACAAGAAAATTCAATCATCTCTCTGAAAAGCTGAAAATAAGAGATGATCTGTAGGCTCGGCGCCTGTAGCTTCAGTGGCTAAGGTGCCGGCCACATACATGGAATCTGGCCTGGGCCTGCAAAACAACAATGACAACTCCAACAAAAAAATAGCCAGGTGTTGTGGTGGGTGCCTGTGGTGCCAGTTACTTGGGAGGCTGAGGCAAGAGAATCACTTAAGCCCAAGAATTTGAGGTTGCTGTGAGCTGTGATGCCATAGCACTCTACTGAAAATGACAAAGTGAGACTCTGTCTAAAAAAACAAACAAAAAAAAGATGATCTGTAAAGAACTCACAGGAAGATAGAACTCTAAAGAAAAATATGAGAAGACCAAGAAGGATGATTGTCACTCAGCAGACAATAATGAAGATGAAAATGATCATAAAAATCTAAAGCAGAGCATTAATGTACACAGCTATCATTTAATAAAAAAAAAATCTAAAGCAGAGAGAGACGCTCATAGAAGTTGTGTGCAGTGAGGACAAACAAGAAAAGGATGCGGCTCCATTCCAGGAAAAAGATTCCCTCATGAAAGACGACAGTGACAGTGACTACAGCAGTTCAAAAAAGAGAAAAAGATGGTTAAGAAGTCAAAACCTGAGAGCAAAGAAAAGAAAATGCCCGAACCCAGGCTAAAGGCTACAGTGACACCAAGTCCAGTGAGAGGCAAAGGGCAAGTGGGTGGCCCCACAGCTTCAAGGGCAGTGAAGGAAAAGCCTCCCCGACAGGTGATGAGCAATGGGAAAGCCCTCCAGGGAAAAACACTTCTGCAAGTCCCCCAGTGGAAGGTTTGGGGTGGAGGGAGCGAAGATGAAGCCTACTCTGGGGAGGATGGAAAGTGACGATGGTTTGGGAAGGATTTTATTTTAAAAAGGGGGGAAAAAAAGAGAATCTTATTTAAGACAGAACATGGTTTTGGCTATGGCTTGACTCAAGGGGTTTTATCCATTCATTGGATAAAAGTAACATTCTCGCTCTTTCTCTTTTTTTTTATTAAAGAAAACCATTATATGTTTAAGCTACCTTTTTGTCTATTGGTTTCTGTCACCCCTTTCCCAGTGAAAGCCATGTCAAACTAAGGGGGTGAAGTGATTGCTTCATCTTTTATTTTCCATGGAAGGTATACACAATTGTAAAGCAGTAATATTTGAGATGAACACTATGGAAACTGCTTTTTGCTAAAGGATAGCTAGCTGAATAGCTAGCAGGTGTGTGAGTGGAAGTGAGGCTTCTAGAAAGAAGGACAAAAGTGGACTCTAAAGACAGTTAGATAGAATGCAAAGGATCAAGAGATTAGAGTAAGACCTAGTTCCATAAGAATAAATTTAGAGAGGGCACTAATAACAGGCATTTAGAATTTAGTGTGTTCATTTTTCAGTTTCAGCAATAATACATTACTTTTAAATTTAAAACGTATTAATAAAAATGAATAAAAAATAAGGGCAAAAGAAGGTTTGACTTTATGGGTTTTGAGATGTTTGACAGGAACAATATGGAAGTTCAGGAAGTTCAACACGGAACGGAAGGGCTTATTAGGTACTACTGTATTTGTAGTCAGGAAGTTCTTTCTGTAACTAAGTACTGTTATTTAGAAATAAGACTATGTTGGTAATGGGACTAATTTTAACACATAACTAAGGGATTTGCTTTGCTCATAAGACTAGATCATGGTTGATTGTTCTCTGTATTAATAATCTTATCCATGTAAAAATCACTACTTTCTACAACATACTAATGGTAGGATCCTGAACTTATAGTTTGGAACATAAAGTTTTCATAAGATACCTTATCAAGTTCTATTTAAAAAATCAGAAGTGATATTTAAAGTAGCAACTCCAAGTGAAATATTATTTACTTATCCATATAGATTTCAATATTCTTAAAGTCAATCCTTAGATCAAGTTAGACATCTAGAAAATGTCATATTTAGACACCATTTACTTAGCTCTCATAGAATTACTTCTACTTATTTTTAAATTGTCATTATGATTTTGGCCTTTATTGAAGATCTCTATCATAAACAGCCATATGAAACGCTATCCATTTGTCGAACTGTTGTTAGGAGCATATAGGAGCATGTTAGGAGCATATTCTAGGGGACTTCAAAGTCCCCTAGAAAAGGTTCGTAGTGAAAATGTCTCTTAAAATATTATACCCCAAACAACAACAAATTCATCAATATCCCATGAGAATTGGATAAGTCATCCAATTTTCCTTTTTGCCGTATCTTCGTGGAAGCTCAGCTCCAATAGGATATCCCATCACATGGAACCCTATTCGTCTTTGTGATTAGCATACCTGCTTCCTCTATGTAGGGCCCTTCTTTCTTTTCTTAATGTATAGTAAATGACTTTGTTAAATTTTGTTGGGAACAACCTACTTTTTTCCAGCATATTAACAACAAATAAAATAGTGATTTCTTAACGTTGGTTTAAAACCTTCATTAGTAACTGCTTACATAGGCTAATTAGAATGTAGCAAATAGGTATAGTACAATAAGCTCTTAGCATAATGATTCCAAGACTACTTCGCATATATTTGTATTTATGTTGTGGTGTACACTTTACAGCAAGAACACAGTCTTGTAAGAACATTGTTTTCCAAGCAGTTGTTCACAATCGAATAGATATTTTTACTAATACTGTACTTACATTCATTTGCTTATTGTACTTGTGTCCTACAGATCCAAGGTTTTGTCTTTTCTGCTCTAAAAGACTTCTTCGTTTATTTTCGACAATTCCTTTTCTTCTCCTAACAGTAGAATCTTAAACAAATGCCAGCACAACATCAAAAATTATGCAAGATGAACAGGTAATATATATCCAGTACAAACTTTCATATTACCTTTAAACATTACTGAAAATTCTTAAGTTTCACTCAGCCAGCAAACTTTATGGAGCTCCTCTTACATGTTCTATGCATGGCACAGTTACCATCTTGAATTCAATAAAATCTCTGCTTCTGAGGAGTTTATAGTTTAGTTTATAGTTTAGAGCAGTGACCTCCAGAGCATGGTGTTGGAACACCAGAAGGGTATGTAAGATAATCCACTGGTATGGTGAAAAAACAGATTAGAAATCCAATTTATATTTAGTATTTACAAATTAGAAATTAAACTTATATACGGTTGACACTAGTGCCATTGTTAGTTTGCAAGGAAGATGGTCATATATTGTATGCAGTAAATTGAGTTATCTAAAAGGAGAGTAGAGTTCTAAGTGTGAGAGGGTAGCAGTGAGAGAGAGAGAGCAGTGCCATCACCATAATGGCATCGTTCATTACTGCTCGTTAGCTTCCTGCAATGTTTCTAAAATTTATATGTGCCCCGGTATTGGATTTATGCATATCTAGTAGTATCTTAACAAGTCATCACAAGATAGAAATGTGGTTGAAAAAATTTCTGTAAAGCTTCCACTGTGTGTATACTATTTCATTTAAGGTGAACAGTGCCTACATGGATATTTATTATATTATTTTTCTATGTTTTTTATAAGATTATTTAGTTAAATACACATGATTCTGTAAAACTATTTAAAAGCATTCTTGCAAATTAGATGAAAAATACTAATAGTATTGTGAAGATGGGTTTAAAAAAATAGCAGAGTTGATACACTTCTTATTCTCTCTTTTTGTTTCTGAGACAGAGTCTCATTCAGTCATCCTGAGGTTGAATGTCATGTGGTGTCATAGCTCACAGCAACCTCTGAGCTCAAGTGCTTCTCTTGCCTCAGCTTCCCAAGTTGCTGGGACTATATGCACCTGCCACAACGCCTGGCTATTTTTTAGAGATGAGGTCTTGCTCTTGCTCAGTCTGGTCTGGTACTCCGAGCTCAAGCGATCTGCCCGCCTGGGACTACCAGAGTGCTGGGATTACAGGTGTGAGCCTATATTTCTTATAGGCCTGGCCTATATTTCTTATTCTCACTACAAACTCTTTGCCCCAGAATGACAATGATAGTATATCTGTAATAAAGTATCATAAATTCAAAAATTATAAAAAAACTAACAATAAATTTTACCCTTACTGTATGTTATGCTGAGAGATATTAGCTAAGGATATAATATGGAATGAAGTCCTCACAGGACATTTGAAAATCAAGTGTTCAGAGCATCACTAATATAATATATAAGAACAAAATTATTTTATATTGTTAATACATAGTATTATTATTTATTATATAAAGCTATTTAAGTCAATTTTGATAATTAAGGATTTTTGTAGAAATTTATCCAATTCATATTTACATTTTCCCCATCTAGGTACTAACCAGGCCTGGCCCTGCTTAGCTTCCAAGATGAGACATACAAAATCAGTGCATTCAGGATGGTCTGGCAATTTCATCTACATTTTTAAATCTAGCATTTAATTAATACGATCATCTTAAATTTTAAAAAATATTATTCTAAGATCATATCCCTCTTTTTGTTTTAAATATTGTTAATTTATGCCTTTTTTTGTATTTTTTAATTGATATGTCATAGTTGTACATGTTTTGGGGGTACATGTTATATTTTGATACATGTGCACAGTGTATAATGGTCAAAGATAATTGTTCATCATCTCAAACATTTATCTTTTGTTTGTGTTGGGAACATTAAATTCCCTTCTAGCTCTTCTGAAATATATAATAAATTATTGTTATCTATAATTTCCCTACTGTACCATCAAATACTGGAACTTTTATAATGATCTTAACTTCATACAATACAAATTTTAAAAATTATTTTAAAAGTTTTTACTTTATCTCATGCTTTCAAAATTTCTTTCTTTTTTGTTTTGAGACAGAGTCTCACTATGTCAACCTTGGTAGTATGTGGTGACACAGCTCCCAGCAACCTCCAACTCTTGGGCTTAAGTGATGCTCTTGCCTCAGCCTCCCAAGTAGCTGGGACTACAGAAGCACACCACTACAACGACCTATTTTTTTGTTGCAGCTGTCGTTGTTTAGCTGGCCTAGGCCTGGCTAGAACCCTCCAGCCTTGGTGTTTGTGGCTGGCGCCATAACCATCGCCATAACCACTGTGCTATCGGTGCTGAGCTGCTTTCAAAATTTCTATTTCTGGTTAAGGATCTTTATGTATATATTGTTATAGTATATTTTATGTATGTTCAAAAATTTATTTTTATTTATTTATTTATTTATTTATTTTTTGAGACAGAGCTTCAAGCTGAGCCCCTGGGTAGAGTGCCCTGGCTTCACTGCTCACAGCAACCTCCAACTCCTGGGCTCAAGCGAGTCTCCTGCCTCAGCCTCCCAAGTAGCTGGGATTATAGGCGCCCACCACAACGCCCGGCTATTTTTTGGTTGCAGCCATTATTGTTGTTTGGTGGGCCCAGGGTGGATTTGAACCTGCCACCTTAGGTGTACGTGGCTGACTCCTTAGCCGCTTGAGCCACAGGCGCCGAGCCCAAAAATTTATTAATAGTGGTATAGTAAAAAATCTTAGAGTCCATTGGTCTCTAGAAGAATGTATATAAACTTAAATGGATTAGTACAGTAAAATGCTTAAATTGTGTGTATAGTTATAAACAGAATTGAGTGGAAGCACAGAGGCTACAGTGACTTTGTAAGAATCAATAAAGGGCTCACAAAAGTTATGTCTGAGCTTGGCCTTAAAGGAGTAGAGGATTCCCAAGTTAAAGCGCACTGTGGTCAGAAAGAACATTATGTACAAAGGCACACAGTAACGATGACATAGAGTTCAGTTTCCTGGGGCTGAGGGTTGGAAAATTCCATTAGTCCCTGGTGCATGTGGTCACAGGGCCACAGGTTCCCCATGCCTGATGTGGGGACATAGAATATAAGTGTGTGTGTGTAACATGGGAATGTGTACATATGCTTTATGATAAGAGTTCAGGTAGGAGAAAAAATTAAAATATTCTGAACCCTGAAATGAAATTATATACTAGTGAATAGGAGTTTATTTTTTTATTTTTATTTATTTACTTATTTTTTTTGAGACAGAGTCTCACTTTGTCGTCCTTGGTAGAGTGCTGTGGCGTCACAGCTCACAGCAACCTCCAGCTCTTTGGCTTAGGCAATTCTCTTGCCTCAGTCTCCTGAGTAGCTGGGAGTACAGGCACCCACCATGAGAATAGGAGTTTAAATACTGAATCTAATTTATATTAACTGTAGTACTGTAGCTTCACACACACACATATTTACACACTATATAATACACACATATATAAAAATTTACATACCATATAATAATTTGTATAAAACAGTAAAGATATAGAAAGTCTTCAACATTAAGACAATTAGCCAGTAATTAAAGATCTGACCTTTGAGAGTATGAGATAGAAATATATTTAACATAGCTAATATGATTTTAGTATAATTTATAAAAACCAAATAGCAAATAAATATATTTAGTATAATATAATTAGTATTTATAATTTGAATGGTATTGCTCTAAGGGCTACAGGTACTATTAATATTTTTATGGATCGAGAAATTAAGGTAAAGGAGAGTAACATGCCCAAGGTCACAGAGCCAGTAAGGGGCAAAGCTGGGATTTAGCTCTAACTAGTTGAGCTCTAAAATCTGAAGTTCTAGCCCTTACCCATTAAGCTAGTAACCTTCATTCTGATTCAATTATGTCTCACAGAAATAAATATATTTGTATTGTGACTCAGGATACATATAGTTTTATAAAATGCATTTTTCCTTACAACATATGATGGCCCCTGGTAGTTTCTACTCTAGAACATTCTAATTCTGAATTTAGATTTCATTAAAAAATACTTATTACCAACTTATGGATTCTACAATCTACTCATGAATCATGACCCATAATTTAAAAACCACTATCTTACATTTATTTCCACCCATATGGGTATGCTAACTGCTTGATATGCTAAATGTTATAGTTTCCAGTGAGATAATTTGATCAGTAACACAATTTCTATACTGATTTCCATTCTTGGAATTTTCTTCCTCTAAATCATAGAAAGTCCTCATTTTTCCTCTTTAAAAGAACTTCAAAAAGACCTTAGATGAAAATTCTGTTGATCACTTAACTGCTGTGCCAAGGTGTTTTTTTTTTTTGTAGTTTTTTGGCCGGGGCTGGGTTTGAACCCACCACCTCCGGCATATGGGGCTGGCACCCTAGTCCTTTGAGCCATAGGCGCTGCCCTATGTCAAGGTTTTATCTCATCTTTCAGCTTGCTCAGCAATTTTCTGACAGCAAGTTCTTTTTTTTTTTTTTTTTTT